CCGCCCGCCCCGGGGCCGCTGGGACTCCGGCCAGCGCGGGACGCTGGACGCGGCTGCGGGACCGGGTGCGGGAGCCAGGAGGTAAGTGCCGGAGGCAGCGCGTTTGCTGTCCCACTTTCACTGTTGTGCACGTCTGGCTACGGGGAGCCAACTCTACGTGGCTCTTTTCTCCGCGAGACAGCTCCCCCCAGCTCTGTCTCTGCTCCGGGAGAAGAGGCGCTCCGCCGCCCCGCAGCTGGGCTGCTGGCCCCGTCGCGTCCCCTCTGCGCTCTCCCTTCCTAGCCCAGTTCCCTAAACCTGTCTCCCACCCGCTCCCCACCCCCTCGCCTTCCTTTTCCCTGCGGCCACTTCCTTCCTTGCAGTTGCCTGAGCAGCCACTACCTCTGTCCACCCTGCTTCACCACCTTGCTCCCCGAGCTCCTTTGTTTTCTGCTTTCTCCTCGGGGGTGAGAGGGTTTCTCTGGCCTGGGTGGCAAAGAGGCCAGAGCACCTGTGGGCTTTCTTCAGTTTCTCTAGACATTCCTCCTGGGCCTGGGATAAGAGACCAGAGATGGGGGACGAGGCCAGTGTCCCCTCCCCGGGCTCCCACCGCCAACCCTCCCGTGTTCTGGGTCTGCGAGGGGTGACCTCACAGCTGTGGGCACGGCAGACCCCAGGGCGAACCTCTCAGCATTTGCACCTGAGAGGGGAAGACTAGAGGGCGACTCCTAGGAAGGCGTTTGTTGTGAGCCTTGAGAAAATCACTCATGGAAAGTCTGCTGTGCTCTAGCGAACAGGATGGTGAGAGGTATAGGTGTCTTGTTGGCTCAACAGCAGATAGCAGCTACAGAAGCAGCTGAAATAGAGTAAATTAGTTGTTTTCTGAATCCACCACCCAGGAGCGTGGCAAGTTGTGCCCAAGAAGTGAGATTTGAGAACTGGGGACCAAAGCTCACAGCTGCAGTCCCTTAGCGTATCTGCTTTATGAGCAAGCTTCTGTGCTTTCCAGAAGTTTCTTTTCTTTTTGGCTTTTGAATACTCAGGAGGACAAGGGAGTTCTTCTCTGTGTTTAATCAGTCTCTTTTTTGAGTCCGCTCCATTTCCCAAAAGCCTTTGCTGCCACACCCTGACTACTTTTCAAGCTGACGCCTGTCTTGTCACCATCACTTGTTTCTTCTTTCACTTGATTTTTATTTTAGAGATGTTCAGAGTACCTGATCTTTAATATTTCATCTTCTGTAAAAATGAGCCCCTCTACTGGAAGATGTGACAGGAGCACACCTCTGTTTTAACTTATAGACTCAATAGCACTTTGTTATTTAGAAAACTAAAAATAATTTAAAATGTGCTGAAGTTGTTAACTAGGAGACAAGTACATACAGCTATGTCTCATTTCCCTGGATAGTGAAGAAAGAGTGTGTCCCATAGCTGTGATTTTTACTTCCACTATAGCTGAAGTTTACCCTTTCGAGCACGATGTCTTATTTTACAAAACGGATCATCTATAACCCAAACTTTTAAAAATGAAAAACAACTGGGCATTAATTGTGGGGTAGTCATGAGCTCAGGCTTCGTGAGCAGGTGGACCTTGGTTGTAATCACTGCTCAGCACTAATTCTCTGTGTGATGACATTAAGAACCCACCAGCTAGAGACCTCCTGGGAGACACTGAGTGTTGAACAGGTTGGGGATTGTTGCGTTGAGGGGGGGCTTCCCACCCGGAGCTCTGCAGAATCTTGGTAAGTGGGTGTGATATTAGAAAAGGCTGATAGGATTGGGTTTGTTGATGATTTGGGGGCAAGTTTAAGGAAATTGGACTTTGCTCACTGCTGTCAAGAAGCAGGGGAATTTCTGTGGTTGATTATCTTAAATCCTGTGTGGAAGGAGGGAAGGCTAGTGAGCCTACAGCTGTGGCCAGGAAGCAGCTGTCACCAGGAATGGTGTGGTACAGTGGTGTCTTGGTCATTTTTGTGGTTTGGACAGTGTTGGCATTTTGTTTGTGGTCAGATGGGATTAGTGGATGTCTTGTTTGTGTCTTGATGTATCAGAGTGGTCACAATGCTCAACCAGGAGAACACCAGGCCAGCAGTAACTGATAGTGCTGTGTCAACTCCCGGATGTCAGGGCTGCTGCCTTTTTCCCTTGTGATCTTGGACAAGTTACTTAACATCTTTGAACTTGAGCTTCCCCATCTGTAAAATGACTACTCATGGTTATTGTGAAAATTAAGTGAGGAAATGTGTAGAAATGATTGAGCTCAGTGTCTGGCACTCTGCAGGTTTTCTCCATGCCGTCGATCCTCTATTTAGAGAAATGATGCTGAGCTTTCTTCCTCAAACAGTAGCCCAGTGGTCAAGCAGAGCTGCTCTGAAGAAGCATCCTGAATTGTGTAGAAGGGAGGTTTGGGTCTTTTCAAGTCAAAAGATTTGATAATCCTGTCACTCTGAATTGTTTTAAGAGCTAGTGAAGATAGTATCTTCCCATGCAAATATCTTGGTGATGGTTTTTAGGGTTCTTTTGTTTCTAAGACTCAGTGACTTTTGTTGGCCCTGTGCTTTTCTGGCTTTGTATTGTTTTGCTTTCTGGGTCTCTTTCTTGAAGTCTTTTGTCTAGGAGTTTGATTTATCCTTGCCTTTGCTTTCATTTACTTTGGTACACACATTGCTAGTCTGCTTCGAGCTGGGAAGCCCTTGACAGGTGAGAAAGGACTGTTTGCTAACACAGTTCTTGATACCCAGGCTCTCTAGACACAGCTGTGGAGGGCAGTGGGTTTTTAGGCCATGAGCTATTTGAGCTAGATCTCTCCTGAGGCTATTTTTACCTACTGCCAGGTGGAAATCTGAATTTATAGTTTGATTTGTGGTTAATTAAGCCATTATTGTTCTTGTCTGTGTCAGGGAATTTGAGTTCTAGATTGTTAACTTCACTTGTCACTGGGCCTATTATTGGTCTTTGTCAGACAGTTACTTCAGATATTTGAGAACGGTGATGACAGCTTGTCTCCTGATAGTACATGATAAACTCAATTATATTGAATTTCTAACCTATATCCTCCTTGAATTTTATATTATATCAAAAGCTTCTAGAAATAATTTTTTAAAAAGCAACACCAAAAATGACACCAGTCAAAAAGAAAAAGCCTTTAAACAAAAGTGCTTGATTTCATTTATACCAAAATATATAACCTAAAACTACCCCAAGAAACCATTCCTCACCTATGAGATTGATCAGGATACAGGTGATAACATGCTCTGTGGTTGAGACTACTACTACATCTTGTTGGTGAGGCTGCAAAATGTCACAGCCACTCCAAGACAGGCATTTTAACTCTCCCTTCAGGTACATGTATGAAGAAGGCATATTCCAGAGAATGTACTGTGGTCTTTTTATATTAACAAAATTTAGAAATAACCCAAGTGGTCAGCAATACGCAGCAGATTAACTAAGTGAGGATGTGCCTGCCTGATGGACTGCCCTCTCATTGTGAGGAAGAGGAAAGACCTCCAGGAGATACTGTTCCATGACAGAAAGTAAGGGTTTTTGAGTCTAAAAAGAACAGTGTTAAACTCCTTTTTACTTAACTTCCGTATTGAGAATTTTGAAAGTAAGAGTGGAAGGGAAGAGGGACCTGTGTAGGAATGGGGCTTCTCAGCGTCTGTCTTCTTATATAATGTAGATGTTTGAGCTATGTAAATATATCCTGTATTCAAACATAAACAAAGACACCTCTCACTTCACAAGGAACTATTCTCAAAGCGTTCCTTGAGTGAGTTAGCTTAATTCTAATCAAGGCCTACAAAGCAATCAGCAGCCTGCCTGGTCAAGAAGGCAACTTGGCTGTGATGTTAGATGGGGGGGGGGGAGGGGCGGGTCGGGACAGAGGAAGGAGGAGCAGGACCGGGAACATTGAAACTGATTCAGCAGGCCCCTTTCCTCTCTAAACCGGTGAGGAGCACAGGTGTCACTCCTTGGGCTTTGGTGCCACTGCAGATGTGCCGTGTTAGGTTTTGTTAGTGGTAGGCCTGAGTCGGCTTCCTTAGAAGCCTCTCTAAAGGCAAGTGACTGAACTCCCATTTTTTTTTTAGGCTGTGCCTGAGAAGAAAAACTGTGAGAATAGAGGTCAGTGGTAATGGGAGGCAGTCTCTGTGGCAGCTCTTCTCTTGGACACATGGGGTGAATTCTGGGTCACTGGGGGAGACCTTCATTTGTTTAAAGTTCTTTTCTGGTGTTTGGCAAGATAAATATTGTACTTTATTGTAGCTATAGTCTCAGCCTTTTTGTCTTATGCTTCCTCCCTGACCCCCTTTGGTGATTGGCATCTCCATCTCATCAGCCAGCCAGCCCACACCTGAGATACCCAGAGGCCATCCCTGGCACTCTTTCAGCACCAGCCTCTCATCCAGCCAGAGTTCCTGGGAATCTGCCAAGCCAGCCTCTCATCTAGCCTCTGCTGCTGACATGGCTCAGCATCAGTTTTGGTTGTCCATCCCTAACCATGTTTCCCTCCAGCTCGTTGCCTGTTCTGCTTCCATATGATCTTTCCAAGTGACCACACTGACCACGCTGCTCTTTAGACAGCCCCCTCCTGCCTCCCCCCCCCCCCCATGACTCTTGCTCCACTTATGCCCCCAGCAGGGGAGGTGCAGTTTTTCCAGGACGCAAGACCAAGGCCTCCTGACCTTGTTCCTTTCTCTTTCCCATTCTGGGAAGTTGCAGTCCGGTACAGGTGTCAACCCCAGAGCTAGACAAGCAATTCTTGTTTGTGAAAGAAGTGGCAATGGGCATTTCACAGAGTGCAGTGTCCTGGCTGGTCGCAAATCTTGCCTTATGTGGTCTTCCACAACCCTCCACCTCTTCCTGCGAGCTCGGGGGTTTTGTAATTGCAATTGCTACTCTTGCCGGAAGCCTGTCCCAGTGCCCTTTTGTCCCTTTAGTTCTGTGTAGCCCACAGCAGGTGTCCTTGGTGGACCTACCTGAAGATGATTTCTTCACAGGTGACCCCGTGTCTCTCTCTAGTTAGACTTGGATGCCTTTTTCTCAGGTCATTTCTTGGTAGCAATCTGTCATAAACCTTAGCTGTTTATTTCACATCTGGCCACCAAATTAGTAGCTTATCATTAAGGGACCAGACTGTTTTTGTCTGTATCCTCAGTGTGTAAATACAGTAGCTGGATAAAGAGTAGTAGATACTTAAAAAGGATGGCTGATGGTTCAATACATGCTGTAATAAATGGATACATGAGGGCTCATTTGCATGCAGGAGCCTTGTGTTTAACAGATTGAATTAGCCTACTTAGCTGTCTTTGCAGTTTACTGTTTATCAGAAAGGAACTTTTTACATGTTTCAGAATCCCTTTAAATGTTTGTTCTAATTGTTAATATAAAATAACAGGCTTATTGGGCTATGCAATATTCTAAGACAAGATATTCTAGACACAGACTTGTGATACGAAAGAAAAATGCTTTCTGATGCTCTAGAGATTCATGTTAAAGTGGGGTGAATTAGTTAACATCTAAGATTACTTCCAGTTTCAGGTTCTATGACTTTATGTGATTGCTAGATAACAAGGTACCAATACAAAGAAAGCATAGTTCTTGTGTATTAGATATTTCAGCAGTTATTTTGCCTTTTTTGAGTTATAATGACTATGTGAACACATGTATGTATATATATTAGATTATGTGCAGATCATCCAGGTATTGTTTACATACTGAGGTATAGGCCAGATGTTGGGGGGAATGAGAGAACTCACCAGAGACAGAGTAGGGAGCAGAACAGGCAGAGTGACTGAAATACACTGCTGAGGGGAACAGCAAGTGAGACAGGAAAGGTCTGCTGTGCCAAGTGTATTAATTCCCTGGCTGGGATCAAACTTGTGCTGCAGTGGTTGCCTATAGCTTGATACCCCTTGCGTCACCAGGGAGGCCCTGTATTGTGAATTGTTTTTATGATGATTGCCTGTTTCTGCTAGTTGAAAGCTTTATTTGTAAAGTTCTATTAAAGTTTTCTTTAATAAAGTTCTTTTTAATATTACAAATATTTTCTCAGTTTGCCTTTTGTTTTTCTAAAAGCTTTTCTCATTACAATTGTACAAATATTTGCCAGTGTTTTTCCTCAAAAAAACTCTCCAATTCATTGACTATTTGTTCTTATGTGTTATGAGGTAGGGATCTGACTTTTCTTTCCAAATGCTTAACCAGCTAACCAACACTGTTTACCAATTAGTGTTTCTTCCATGAGGTATAGTACTTTTTTGCTTTCCACTGTGTCTGTTCTTTTTGCTTCCAATTGAAGTTTGACATTTTCATTTTCTGTGACATTTACAGTTTCATTCATTTTTTGAATAGTAGCTAATTATTTTCCATTTAGGAATAGGGGTAATTACACAGTGTAGAGAAAGACATGATTGTTCCTGCAAAGGAGTAGTCATCAATAAGATACACATTGGTATGTTGCCCAACAAATATCCCAGATACTTGGTAGGATTGTATTTTCTGACATTATGGTTGGCGGAGGTCATGTGACTAATTCTGACAAGTTGTGAGTGGACATGAATTGGGTCAGTTGGACCATTTACTTGTTAGTGTGAGCCTTTCAGAACTCTTGCTGGATGATGACTGACAGTGTTCAAGATAGTAACTTCTCTTTTGTTCTAGAGTCCTAAATGACAATGATGAGGAAAGTTCGCCTGTCGTGCTGTATTGGACTTGTGGTATGAGCAACAAATAAACCATACTGTTAGAAGCCATTAATATTTGGGAGTTGTTTCTGAAGTGTGTAATGTAGCTTATCCTGACTTATATATGTAATATCTTTCAGTATTTCCATTTGAATTGTCATCAACTGAACTTAAGCTAGTAACTTTCTAGGAGGAAGGCATTCTTTCATGTATACTGATTGAGAGGAGAGAGAGAGAAGGTAATTTTAGGAAAAAATCCTTTAATAATTTTGGGATACCTTGTTTATTTCCAGGTAATTTGGAACTCTCAAAATGTTTGCCAAAGCAACAAGGAATTTTCTTAGAGAAGTTGACTCTGGCGGTAACCTGATTGCAGTATCTAACTTGAATGACTCTGATAGATTACAACTTCTAAGTCTGGTCACCAAAAAAAGGAGATTCTGGTTTTGGCAAAGACCGAAGTATCAGTTTTTATCTGTTACCCTTGGAGATGTACTCATCGAAGACCAATCTCTGAATCCAGGTATGTTTCTTGAGATATATTCTACAAATTAATCTCAGAAGATGAGTCTTCTTTTAGACATATGTTGTCTTGAGTGAATGTAAGATATTATAATCATTATAATATCCTGGTTTTGTTTTGTTTGGGCCTACAGGTTTAAAAGAATATCCCTTCTTAAAGTGAACAAAATTCTATAGGCCTGTAAAAATAATATTGCTGATTTTGGAATCAAAGGAACACAAGGCTATTTATGGACGTAGTGGTCACCCACCATAAGTGGGATGAATCTACGACCCCAAATTTTATTTGATGTTGAGGCTGATGCCTCACTGTCGTACTCATTAGGAGGGTGTGAACGTGTTATTCATACAATGAAGCTTTCTAGAGAGAGCAGTACAGATTCCTAAGCTGGTCCAAACATAGCTAGATGGAAGGGAGGACGAGGAGATGGTCTTAGCTTTTATTAGACTAGGATGTGGGGCTGGGGTGAGGAGGCCCACGTGGGACTTGGGCGGTGTGGCTTGCTGTAGGTGCCACAGAGGGACTCTGGTTTCCCACCAGCTCTCCCAGGTGTGTGACAGAAAGGGAGGAGCTGTCAGTAAGCATCAAGAGTAGAACCAAACTCATTATGACAGGAAAGTATTTCTAGAATGTAGAAGGGCATGAAAAAGAAAATAAATGGACAACAATTTCACCAAGGCTTGCTTCCTAGTAATACTTGGATTGTAGCCACCTTTTCTCTTCAACAAAATTTTGAAAACAATATCGCATCATGTTTTATATTCACTGTAGAGATTTTCTTTTTTAAAAAAAAAGAAATTATTTATGCAGACAAGAACTAGGATGTAGGCGAGGTGCAAGGGGTGAAAGGATTCACCAGAGACAGACTGGGAGCAGAACAGGCAGATCTACTGAAAAACACTGCTGAATGGAGCAGCAGACGAGACAGGAGATGTCTGCTGTGCCCTGTGGGTCAGCTTCCTGGCCAGGGACTGAACTCATGTTGCAGTAGCTGGTGATAGCTTCATAGCACTGAGACTTTAACATCTGCTCCACCAGGGAGACCCTTTTCAAATTTTTAAACAAAATTAGGAACATACTACATATACATGTACTTTTTCTTGCTTATTTTAAATTTAGTCTTGTATGTTTTCCTTCATAAGTTTAAGTATTTTTTTTTTTTTTTAAAAAGATTCATACAGAACTGCGGAACAGGCCAGAGATGTGGAGGGTGAGATGATTCACCAGGGACAGAGTGGGGTGCAGAACAGGCAGTTCGATGAAGTACACTGCTGAGGGGAGCAGCGGGCAGGTCAGGAGAGGTCTGCCGCGCCATGTGGTCTCCTCCGAGGCAGGCGGGAATCGAACTCATGCGGAAGTGGCTTAAGCTTCTTAGTGCAGTGCTTTAACCTGCTGCACAACCAAGGAGGGCCAGTTTAAGTATTTTTAATGCTATTTTCAACAAACATATTCTTTTGTGTGTATGCACCCTAACTTAACTGTTCCAGTTTAATGCGTAATAAGACTGTCATGAATATTTTGGTTTGAATTTTTGTTTTTCTTCTAAGCAATTGCTTTAGCATACTTTCTCAGTGGTAGACTGAGGGTGGAGGCATTGGAAAGACTTTTGGTACTCATTATTACATTGGTTTTTGCAACATGGTAATATATGAAAGTATCATCAGTTCTTAAATATTGGACAAATGATGTCTGAATCCTCTTTCAACCTAAAAGTAATGTGATTTTATGATAGTATCTTTCCATTCAAGCAGAAATAGAAGAGATCAGTGACAGTTTCCAAACTTCTCAAGATCAACAGCCAAGCCAGTGCTGACTTTGGCCGGGCTCACTCTCAGAACTGCCCAGCACCGGGCAGATGCACTGTTTTATGTCATCACCCCCTCCTGGATATTGTGTGCTTTCTGGTAGAACTCTTATTGAGTGGTGAAATAACTAAATTTGAGTATGGGCAAGAGAAAAAACTTCACAGAATAGACCGTGGACCCCTGAATAATTGGCATTTCACTGCTGTGCTGCTGAAGTGTTTCTTTTGGGGTGTCCCGAGAGATCTTGAAGACTCACATGGGGCAGTGAGTCCAGTTGCAGCTGTACCAATGAAGGCACTCAGATATGCCAGTCCTCTCAGCCCAGGCTCAGCCCTGCTTCTGGATCCTGTCGGCAGTGCGGCTGTCATGGGTGCGGGCCTCTCCTTTGTCTACTGAGTAGATCCAGGAGGCCTCCCCTGTGTTATTTTTGTCAGACTGGTGAGTTTGTGTGTGCGACACAGAGGTTGGAGTGTGGTACTGGACTGCTGGCAGCCCCAGGGAGAGTCTGTTGGTTCTCTCAGTTTTCCCTTCCCACCAGCAGCAGTCGGTGACTTGCAGGGCTCCCAGATGCTGTCTCTTGGTGCTGTGTTTTAGAGCAGCACCCTACCCCTATACATAGTCTTGACTGTTCCCACCGACCGTGGGGTCCGCAGGAAAGGTGTGAGCCTGATGAAGACCAGCTGTGACCTGAAGCTAGCATTGCTAAAATATGGCTGTCTGGTGTAATACAAAGTGATACTGCCCTGCTCTAAACTCAGCGGATACACTGAGCTCTTGCTATATGCAGGTTCTGGATTAGATAATGATATATATGCATCAACTTGCAACAGAATCCATCAGGTAGATATGAATTATCTCTAAATATCTGGTAACTTGGAAGTGTGGGGAGATGAATGTTATAGTGTCTCCCAGCTAGGAATATTAGAGATAAAACCTGGAGCTCTCAACAGCTTCTCTCTGCTGCTTCCCACATCATTTCCCAAAGTGTGTGCATGCCACAGATGTTATTAGAAAAAGGCTTGTGACATTTTCATAGCTGCTGCTTTTTAGGGAGGGGGTGATGGTGGAGGTGAATTTCTACTTTATAAATTGCAAAGATAGTGAATGGTGATTAATTCTCGTAAACCTGATTGGAGAATGAGAAAGGTTTTCTTAACTGGAGAGAAAGAAATACAAGTGTTTGGGACAGTGATGGATGGAAAGAAGCATCGCAGCTTTTAGGAGGATTTGAATACCTTTGGGGAGCATATCTGGTACAGCTACAACTGAACTCACTGCCCCATGTGATCTTGGGTCAGGGAAATTGAAAAAGCCAATTGAAGTTCTCAGGAGACTGGGTGTAGCCTGCTGAGACTTTTTTTTTTTTTTT